AGAGAGAGAGAGAGAGAGAGAGAGAGAAAGAGAGAGAGGGAGAAAGAGAGAGAGAGAGAGAGAGAGAGAAAGAGAGAGAGGGAGAAAGAGAGAGAGAGAGAGAGAGAGAGAAAGAGATCGAAGCAAGGGAGAGGTGGTAAGGGCACAGACTCCACTCCCACGTGGAGACACGGCAACGAAACAGGTACCTGTTTGCTTGGCAGACGGAAAAAGATGCTGGAGAGAACCCGCCCCTTCGCATCCGTGAACTCCTTGATGTGCTCCAGTATTGCAAAGATCTTATCGGTTATTCCAGCCGCAGATTTCATCTTCATTCTACGGGCAACAGGTGGAAGTGATGTGTGAGAAGAATGTAAGGTGTGCATGTAGTAGTACAGTACGTACATGTAGATACGCTTCTCAACATATAAATTGCAATTCAGGGTTTGTATATCCAAGACAAATCATTATTCCACGATGCTTCTAGGAGTTCCACAGAACGCATGCTCACACGCACGCGCCTAAGTACACACGCACACACATACAAAAACACATCCGCACACACACGCGCCTCGCATGCCTCATCCATCCAGACATTATCCGGTTCTTTATAAAACTACGAGATTCAGGTATTGTAATTAAACTGACTAACAGGCTGAATAACCGACTGTAAGTTAACGCCGTACCCTGTATGGCCAAGCAGCACGCATTCACGCAACACACGCAACACACGCAAGCACACACGCACACAAACACACAAAACACACACACATGCACACACAAACACACACACACACATGCACACACAAACACACACACACATGCACACACAAACACACACATGCACGCACGCGCACGCACGCACGCACGCCCGCACGCCCGCCCGCACGCACGCACGCACACAACGCACGACTGCAGCCACTAGACGTACTTGCGGTTCATGCGTGAGACGCGCGGCGACTCGGCGTTGATGCCCAGCTCCTTGAGCTTGTCGGCGAGCACGCGATCGAGCAGGTCGGCGTCGCGGTACACCTGTGATCCCTCCTCGTTGTAGTGCCGCGCGTTGCTGAACATCAGCTTGAAGTGACTCACCATCGCCGCCTCTATCGCGTACTGTTTAAATACAGATCTTTTTTACAGGTATATTTTGTTTGAATTTCAGACACATCGTAACAGATGTTGTGATCATAGATGGAGATGTGACCGAATGTATTTACATGCAACATTCACCATTGCCGCCTCCGTCGCTTACTGTCGAAACCACAAATATGTCGTGAGATGTTACAGGTAGCATAAAAAGAAATGTCACGAAACGTTTTACATACAACATTCGAGATAGTATGCATGATTTGAGATGTTAGACGAAACAGACGACGAACATTAATGAGGCATTAGGTTCTAGTAGATAGAACAATAAAAATTAAATAAAACGATAACAATAACAATTATAACGATAACAAATAATTAAAATTTCATTGATTCAAAGACTGAAGTGTTTTGCTCGGTGCGCCGACATACCTTGCCACTGTTGATGTTAGCTTCAATCATCTTCATGTCAATGGGATCTGTGATGATCTGGTAGTAGTCCGGATAGTCCTTCCTAGATGGCAGCACTATGAAGATTCCTACCGGATACCGGCCCGTATCATCCTGCATGACAAGGTCACGTAATTAAAGGTAAGAGCTACACGACAAACACATGAGGATGAACAGAAGGGTAGGAAACGTCTAGCGAGCATAGAAACAGCTAGGAACTACAGAGATATGCACAACATCGTAAAAAGTGATGAGGAGACTGAAAAAGATGGAGAGGCGAGATGGAGAAAATATTCCTGGTAATGATAGAAAATTATCGTATTCTCATAGATCGATGAATCTCTCTTGCTTACAGTCTACACGACTTCTGGACACAAGGCTGCTAAATTCGTAGTAAAATTCAGCCAAATAATATACCAACCCAGCCCCTGCAAAAGATAGCATGCATGCCCAAACTATCACACTACCTTGTACTTGAACACAGCCTTGTACAACTTCTTTAGATTCCTTTTCAGGAGTACAGACTTCTGGCCACGAGTAGGCGTGGCTTTCTTCACGCGGGTGCGGGGTTTGTAGGTCTGGCAGAGGCTACAGCAGGAATCCTACAGAGGGATCAGGGGAGTAGGTAGGCACACGCGCATGCACACAGATGCACACACGCACATGCATGCATGCGTGCTACTGTCCAGAGGATATCGGCAAGGAATACACGATAAATTGGTTGCAATGTCACACACCTTCAGGGATGATACAAGGACGGGAGAGCGGAGTGTGTGTATGTGAAAGAGAGACCAACAGAGGGGGAAAGAGAGAGAGACAGACAGAGGAGGAAAGAGAGAGAGACAGACAGAGGAGGAAAGAGAGAGAGAGACAGACAGAGGAGGAAAGAGAGAGAGAGAAACAGACAGACAGAGGGGAGAGAAAAGCATAGGAATAAGATAAAGCATGCGAGAAAAAGGGAGAGAGAGAGAGAGAGAGAGAGAGAGACAGAGGGGAGAGATAAAGCATGAGAGAAATATAAAGCGTGCGAGAAAGAGAGAGACAGAGCGCGCGAGAGTGAGAGAGACAAAAAGAGAAACAGAGAGAGAGAGCGAAAGAGAAACAAACAGGCAGACAGACAAGAGAGAGAGAAGAGGAGAGAAAGAAGCTGGCACGCACATAGTGGTAGGACAGGGGGTCTTGCTACCTGGTAGTCCATGACAGTGTTGTAGAGAGCCTTGAGATTCTTCTTGAGGTTGTGAGGACCGTCGGCGCCTCTCTTCGCCTGCTTGGCGCGCTTCTTGTGTCCGTCCTCCTCGCTCTCGGTCTCCCTCTGCAAGATGAAGCCCACGATCACGCACCGACACGCGGCGGGGAAGGCTGGCAGCCCTCCCTGTGACTGGGAGCAGTCCCTAGGCTGGGAGTGTATGGGAGAGGTCCCTAGACTGGGAGTCGATGGGAGACGTCCCTAGGCTGGGAGTAGATGGGAGAGGTCCCTAGGCTGGGAGTGGATGGGAGAGGTACCTAGGCTGGGAGTGGATGGGAGAGGTCCCTAGGCTGGGAGTTGATGGGAGACGTCCCTAGGCTGGGAGTGTATCGGAAAGGTCTCTAGGCTGGGAGTGGATGGGAGAGGTCCATAGGCTGGGAGTGGATGGGAGAGGTACCTAGGCTGGGAGTTGATGGGAGAGGTCCCTATACTGGGAAAGGTTTCTAGGCTAGCAGTTGCTGGGAGAGGTCCCAGTGGCTGGAAGAGGTTCCTAGGCTAGAAGAGGTTCCTAGGCTAGAAGAGGTTCCTAGGCTGGAAGAGGTTCCTAGGCTGGAAGAGGTTCCTAGGCTGGAAGAGGTCTCTAGGCTGGGAGTGGTTCCTAGGCTGGGAGTGGTTCCTAGGCTGGGAGTGGTTCCTAGGCTGGAAGAAATGACAACGCGTGAGGCACAATAGATGTCGTAAACGAGGTTGTGATAAAGGTCGTGACAGACTGAGAGGGGGCAACCAGGGGAGCGAGCATATGCAACGCACGGTTACCAACGATGCTGACAACAATGCGCAAGCCACGATGCGAGGTGCGACAAAGGCCAAGATAGAGTGGGTAACCAGGGAAGCGAGCGCACACAACGCACGGGTAACAACAACAACAACAACAACAACGAAGATGACAATGCACGAGCTGTAATAATAGCAGAAGACCGAAAGAGCGAGTACACACACTGTGGGCACGACTGGAGGCTTGGGACAGTGTTAATGTCAGGATACGTGAGAGTGACGAAGCCAAACCCACAATCAGGCAGTACTGCAGCTACCAGCCACCACCATATACGCACCGGCCTCCCAGCGGCCTAACCCCAGCACCACCCACCACCACGTACGCACCTGCCTAGATACCACCATTAGATGCCACGCAAGCACGCGCAATCCTTCCCACCCCGCCCACCTTGACAACACCCACCCCGCACACACCCGCGTGACTTGTTGTGGGAGGGGCAAGTACATGGAGCATAGAATGCTGTATAACAGACAAGCACACACCGACCTGACCATGTGCGTGCTGATCACACCCACCTACCCAACAAAGTATGCTAATCCCACCAGCGCAGACACAGCGGCATAAGCACCGAGTTAACAAAACACACGGTGTCTTCGCAGAAATACTGGGTCACGACTGCGACATTATGTTTAAGGTTCATTTTGCATAGGAAACAAGCAACAAAATGAATACAAGCAAGCAGAGCAAGGCCTCACGCAACGACCACGGCTAGAATCCAATGTACGAGCCATTCGTTCAACTTTCCACCGTACGCCCACGTACAACAACAACAGAACAAACAGACACACACACGCACGCACGCACGCACGCACGCACACACACACCACACGCACACACCACACACACGCACACACACGCACACTGGGAGTGGTTCCTAGGCTGGGAGTGGTGGGGAGAGATCCCAGTGGCTGCAATGAGAAAGACTGTCAGTCGCTTAGTCGGTCGTCGGTGATGCGTCGCCGTGGCGATGCGTGCCGCAGCAGGGGCAGGGAGAGCTTCGGTAAATGATATGTTTTAGTGAAACCCTGTGTCGGGCTGTTCTGGAACCTCTAGGAAGATAGATCTCCACAAGTTCTCTGTGAAATTTAGAGAGACAGTGGTTCCTAATGTGGGTGGCACCCACTCTGTGGACTGTAATTGCAAACAGGGTAAGGTTAAGGAGCAACAAGAATTAGTATCAGCCAACGGATTGACTTGAAAAAATAATTGAGGAACTACATGTTTAGAGTATTGTATCCCACGGCCAAGCTTAAGTGGTACATAAGGGTCATAGTACAAGAATTGCACCTAAAATGAGACCTAAGCATTTAGATCTATGTAGTTTTTGCCTAAGTATTTACGAGGGTCTTAGAAAAACACCGCCGCCGGCGCATCGAAAACATATTTCGTCCGTCTGTCTGTCGTACATCTATACACACAAACAACACCCGAGTAATAAGGAACCACAGTGTAAATCTGCATGCCCCATATGCATGCACGCACGTCTATAAATAATCGTATGCAACGAAAGCAAAAAACCAATAACGGCCGTAATTTCTACGCCCCATTCCTGCCAAATGTCTACAGTAAACGGAATTATCCGAACGCAGGCATTGAATGGCTACATCTTATCAAAGACCTGGGCAAGCGGGCCGGTGAGTATCGATTGCATTTCGGTAGATATCCGACGAGCAAGAGAGATGCATGCGGAAACTCAGCGACACACTCAAGAGGAGGAACTTGGAGGTGTAAACATGCCACGATCGGGGCTCTGTCGTTTGAGAGCGTATCTACGTACATGCAACTGATACAAACATGGCTACACTTGCGCTCACACAAACACACATACATACACACACACACACGTACTAAACCTACATATAGATGAAAAAGTAAAAGACAATGGAGTTGACATCCCGAGGTGACAGTTCTACTGTTATTATTATTATTATTATTATTATTATTATCATTCATGCACTATTACAGAGCTTACGACACGCACGACCATGCAGTATGCAACATCCCAAAGTGGAGAAACACCTACAATAGTTCACTAGCAACACTTCTAACATAGTCTAGCGCAACTCTGCTGCTACGATGCTCGTTGCCATGCCAACATGCTGCAGACGCTGTAATCGTCAATGTGGCCCCCACACGACCGCGAGGAGACAGAGGGAACAACGGGGAACAAGAAGCCAAAGACGCGCTCTTCGTCGTGAAGTTACCACGACGTTCACCACCGCGCTTCACGGAGGAATTACAGCAGGAAGAACTTCTCAAGGGTTTGGCATGTATGTATGTAGGTGTCGGTATGTTCCCAGGATGTTCCTTGAGGATGACGTGATAAACGTTCTGCGGGATGTTCCTCTTGGGAACCACAGAAGATCTCGACAAGGCGTTCTGTCAACGGACGCTTCGAGGCGGTCTTCAGAGGAGTCGAGATCGGGACACGGGATTACACGAGGTTCTTTTTGGAAACCAGGAAGAGCTCAGAGGCAAAAGTGTGCAGGGGGAGGGATGGACGGATTAACGGAGCAAGAGAGACAGAGGAACAGAGGGACAGATGGAAGGAGGGGCAGACAGAGGGAAGTAGGGACAGATAGAAGCATGGACAGACGGAGGGAAGGACTGGCGGACGGATGGACGGACATACGGAAGGAGGGACGCATGGGGACACGCACGCACACGTGGAGACTACGTTACGCATGCTGACGTACAGAAGTGCCCACCCCACACCGCCTCCCGACCCGCCCCCGTGCGCATCTTCATGCAGACACCGACCTGTCGAACCACGCCCAGCTTGTGCACTTTGCGGAGGTGCCGCGTAACGTTAAACTTGTAGGTGCTGCGGAAGTCGCACTCGGGGCAGCGCGTCAGGCCGCCCTGCTCGGGAATCACGAGCGCGCTGATGTCCTCCGACTGCCACTCCACCCCGCCGCCGCCGCCGCCGCTGCCGCCGCCCTGCTGCTGCTGCTGCTGATGAGGATGCTGAGATTCCTCTTCTTCTTCTTCCTCGGTCGGCTCCTCCTGCAATGTGTCACCTCCGCACGGTCAACAACCGCGACTCTCCGCCGCGCGCGCGAGTTGACGTGGTGGCGGGGTCGGGGGATAGCGCGAAGAGATAGAACGATCGTCGTCGCCACTACCCGTTGCCGTCTTTACTTCATTCTCTTAGAGTTGGCTTTCGTTACCCTCCTTCCCCTACCCACCGTAGTGAGAAAAAACGTTTGGTTTTGTCACCAACAACTCCCTCCCCAAAGCAAAAAAAATACAGGCATGGTTTTGTCACCCAAAGCAAAAAAAACACGTGCGGTTTTGTCACCAACGACTCCCCCGCTGAAGCGAAAAAATAGTCATGGTTTTGTCATCCGAAGCAAAAAACACATGTGGTTTAGCCACTCCACCCCCCAGAAAAACAATAAAAACACGTGGTCGTTTGTGGCCTCCCTCCCCCGAAGCGAGAAACAGACGATGACGACAATACGTGGCGTGATTTTTTTATTGTTACGCGTACAAGTACACGCACAGGCGCACAAACACACACGACGGTCACCAACGACGGTATCAGGGGAGGTGACCAACGACGGCAACAACAATTCCATGCTCAGACCACGAAGATCAGTCTATCACATGCTGCACCCTGGCGTATAGGAGGACAATCAACAATGATAAATCAGTAGACAAAAGTACTGCGGCAGTTATCCAAATAAAATATAGACTGATGGATAGATATGTAGACTAGATATGTATGTATAGAGAGAGAGAGAGAGAGTGAGAAAGGGAGAGTTCCTGAGGTGGTAGTCTATCGCAACCTAACCTTATTCCATAGTTAAAGGTAACTGTAGTAAATGGAGAAAGATGCATGTGCATCTTGAACCTAAGCTAATTACAGGCAAATGACTACGAAAAACACACACACACACATGCATGCACGCATGCACGGAATAACAGAAGGCAAGACCGTCACACAGACGTCTGCAGTGCTACCGAGAGCAGAAAGTGAGTCTGTCTCCTGCGCAAGAGCAGCAACAGACGACTGGGGGGCAAGCGGCCCTGAGCGGGACGGGTGTGAGAAGATGACGACGCCTGGCGCCGTGACGACAACGACGGCAGTGTCAACGTGACGACAGGGGGGGGGAGGTCGCGACGAACGACCCTCGTCCAGTGATAGCAGCGCCCTCTCGTGACGATCGTGCCGGCTTATAAGCTGCTCTTGTTGTCCGTAGCTTGCAGCAGCAGTATGACAGCATGTGTGCCGAGCAGCAACAGCAACAGCAAATGCACAAAATCAGGTCAAAATGAAAAACGCACGCACGAGAGACTAGTTTGACACGAGACTACGAGACGCAGAATTCTCACCGACGCGTTATGTCACAGACACTGCAAGACACAGGCGCTGCGATACCAGTGATGCATCGATTCTTCGACTCTCGCTAAAATCCGTGAAATATCTTCCCGTGAATGCCCCGTGCAATGCTTTCTTCTAAATGTCCCGTGTCATGTTTAATTCCCTCGTTTCCCTTTGAATAAGACCATTCAACTGAATGAGTCTGAAAACCCGACCAGTCTTTGAAATTCGGAAAATTTTGATTTCTACTACACAACCTATAGTAAAATCCATTAAAAATTATCCAGCCCTGGATCAAGGGTCTTATCATCACATGTTACCAGTCCCGGACCAAGGGGGGAGGGCCTGATTATTTCTAATGCTGAAGCAAAAGCAATTGGAGCCCGCTCGCTTGCAGGCCACGCTCGCCACACACACGTATGCTGGCGCACATGCACGACCTGTAACAACTACGTACACGTCCCGTCAGGAGTAAGATAATATAGAACCTATATTATCTTACTCCTGGTCCCGTCACCCGCACCGACGCTGCAAGCAATGCCAGGACTTCGTGGAAATGCGAGGGATGTCGGGCATGTCGGGGGTTAGGTGCCGTTCTGCTGAGATGAAGGCAGCGGTGGAGAGGCGATGCACGGGATGCCTGAGGGAAAGCATGACTCGGGTGCAGCAAGGCAGAGACAAGGGTAGGAGGTAGCGTGCGCCATCTTCCCTCTGCCACCCACCGACCAATCCACTCTACAGCTACAAAGCAACTCTACACGAGGACAGAGAGACGCGGCAGAACGACCAGAACATAGGCCGCGTGTTAAGTCAGGCTGTTATGAGCATGTTAATGAAGAAATCACCCGACAGAGAAAAGCCCGTGCCGTAAGAATAAGTGCAGGTTAGTCGTGATTTTAGGCATAAAACTGGGAACACGGTAACGCACAAACGGACACAGACACACGATAAACACACGCACACGCACTCACGCACGCATCCGCACGCACGCACGTACCTACCAATGTGCCGAATGCTTTAACTGCACAACGAATGAACGCAGATATCTAACTGATCAACCGTATAGATAGCGACATCAATGATCGTCATCATCACAACCTACGACTGTGGAGCGACTAGGTTCGAACACCGTGAGCGAACAGAAGGAACCACGAGACAGGCATCGTCGTCAGGATGGGTAGGTAATCGCTGCCTAACGAACGAGGACAGATACCAGAACTGTCACGGGACAGCAGGAATTTGTGTGGATAACCGGCTCAAGGGGTGCTGCACGGATACTACTACACCCACGAAGCAAGGCAATCAGACAGGCAGGTACGTAGGCAGACCAGCAGACAGCTAGGCAGGCAGGCCAGCAGACAGCTAGGCAGGCAGGCCAGGAAGGATAGACTGGATATATAAATGAATGAATATAACATGAATATAATTCAACATTATATAATATTAATATA